TACAGCAGTGAGATTGCCAGTTGAGGGGTAGTTGGAGTGTGGGTCATCTTCAACTAAAAAAGCCAACCTCTCGATAGAGTGAACTACAAGCAGACCGTGGATTGAGGGAGCGTGCCCTCGCCTATCTGCTGGTTGATTCTCTATGTTGTTGGGCGTTTGAAAGATCCTAATCAGAAGTGATTAAGAAGGGAGCTCAAAAATAGGTTCCAGAAAAATTGAAATATCAGCCACGGAAGGCAGCATGTAAATGGGCTGAGTAATTGCTCAGGTAGGATAATGTGGATGCTACTTCGCAAAACATGTTTCACGCCTTCACCATTTTTCTTGGATTTTTAATAACAATAAATGTAAAGTGATTCACTAATTATGGGACAACCTAATAGAATAAGCAGCCAGAGTTGAACGCGACAAATGCGTTTCTCTCTCCTCACAACCTGTCAGCCATGAAGCACCTCTCTTCAATGAACGGCCAGTTTTCAACTTTAAATTAAGGATGCGGGTTGGATTCGGTTAGAGTTGGAGCAGCTGGAAAGTGAAATGTTCAGGACAAGGAGTGTGAAAGAGCCAACAGAAAACGAGCAGGGGTAGTGGGGTGGAAAAGTGAAAACACTCAATCGGAATGTTTTGAGAGGCGTGAAGGTACATGGGACAAGAACTGCTGTTGAAAGCAGACTATACCTTTCTTGTCCGAGGGAATTGGAGCACATAATGTTCAACGTTAACAACTGATTCAGTTCGCAACCACCACTCTCTCAGAACCACCACTTTCACATGGAGACAAGCGGGCTCGAAACTTTTACCTACTTTTCGCCCCACCCTGAGAAACTCAAACACGAAGCCCGGTTAAGGAATGCGCGCACGGTTAACTTTTTCTATACATTAGTCAAGCAACTGAATTAATTGCGTATAGCATTCCTCAGTCAGGCTGGAGCAATTACGGTAAGCCTCCTTGAGCTCGACAGTGATGGCAGATGAGGTCATTTCGAGAAGGAAGTGAGGGTACAAAAGGGTCTGCATCTGCTTGTGGTGGGATTTTCTATTATAATTTTCGGGAATTGGGAATATTCGCGTCCAATTTTCATCAACAGTAGCACCCTGTGCGACAGAAAGTTGTGGTATGGGCTTTAGCAAAATGACTGTTTGCGGTCCCCTCTCCCCACCCTTCTCCTCGTATTATAAAATACCTGCACCTGCATGTATGGTATGTAAAGGCAGGGAATAGGATAGATTCTAGACAAGTTTATAGAAGACGTTGGGGTACAATACGACACATAGACTCAGTGATATATCAATGGCGGCAGAGAATTCGTTAAAAAACGTGACAAGGGGACCCCCTGGCTCGGCCGTTGATCTTCGCTTAAAGCGATACCCCAGGCAGAATCCGTGTGAGCGGTCCTCTTCGTCCTGTGAGGTAGTGCCCCAGCAGACAATCACGAACGTAACAGTCCCGTGCAACGAAAGCGCCCGAAAAAGGCGCTAGGGTCTTCTAAGCCAAGCTGCACGAGATGCACGGGCCGACTTGTCCGCAGCTGTGGGGTTCGCCGCAGCTG